TTCAGAACTGAGAGTTTTCATTGCTTTTGTGGTGAAATGTTTAAATGAAAATTAATCACCTAGTCCATTTTCATGTAAAGAGCAGGGACTTGATGGAGTTACTGTCCCATCTCTCTTAACTCGAAATCACCGGTGATCTTCCAGAAGACACTAAATCGTCTAAAAATTTTAGCTGCAGTTGCTACTCACCTTTTAAAAATGATCGTTCCTGTTCACGGGTTTAGAAAGTTGCCACCTGAAATTTGTAGAACTGTAGGAGGACGTGACCGAAAACAGCCCCTTACAATAGAAGAATGTATCCAGTGCCTCTAGGTTAAGGGCTGGTGTTTCCAGTAGATAAAAACGGGACACGCGTTGTGGAAAGGAAATTCATTGTGAGCCTTAATTTTAGTTACAGGAGCCAAAATCTTTAATTGAGGGCCAACCCTTATCTTTTTAAGCCTAAGAGGAGTTGGTGTAAATGCCAAATTTACAAATGGGGAAAACCTGTAGCGGGGTGAGGAATGTAATCTCTCAGAGAAACAAAGCACCTCCATTAAAAAAAAAAATAATTAAAAATAAGCTGCTTTCTCTGATAATGAGAAGGATACATAATAACAAGGAGCTATATAAGACAGCAACAGTTTAAGAAACCTAAAGCTTTATATGAACAGAAATGTTTAGGGGATGCTTTTTTTTTCCTTAAGTGAGGAAAAAGGCAATTGTTTCGAATAGGGTTGAGTTGCACAAGTACGGAGTGTGTGTGTGTCTTAATGTCTCAGTATTGCCTTTGTTAGTCTCTATTAGTCCATGCAGTTTGGTGGCCTGGTAAATGCAAGTCTTATTTTTAACAGCTTTTTTTTTTTTTTTAATATAGAAACATAAAGCTTTAATGCTTGCTATTTAATAAGTAACTGTGTTTTCTTCTGTCTCTAATTTAGTGGCCATAATTTGCAGTTAATTGAACCATTCCAACCTAATGCTTACCCATATTTCCTAGTTTTGTTTTATTTATTTATTTGAACTTCTTGTTTTCATGATTGAGGACTTTCACTTCTGTCTCATTCATCTGTTTGGAAACTTCTGACCTTACAGCCAAAACTTAACTCCTTCTACTCAGTATTCATCGTGATGCTGAAGTGTAAGATACCTGCAAATGTAAACACTACCACTTTTATTAATAAAAGCAAATACAGTGTTTTAGGGCACATTTGCATCACTATAGTTGAGGTTGTGTCAGTATTTCCATTATAAACCCATAGAGGGTCTATAGCTTGGCACTAAATTGCCCTAAGCTAAATCTCTGCCGTACAAGGCTTCTGCTCAAGCGTGATTTGGTGGGTTGGTTTTTAAATAGTTTCCAACACAAACTCTTGTTTCTGTTTTAAGTTATACAACTGTTTTGTTGGATGGGGGTTGGTTTAAAAAAAAACCAAACAACAAAAACAACAAACAAACCTGGTTCAAGATTGTTTTTGGCACTTCTGTAACTCAGAAATGGTTTTGATTTTAAAACATAACCTTTGGCAAGCCAGTAACCTACAATATGGTCTGATCACTTTGGGTATTTTGTAAAAAATAATAATAAATTGTAGAGATGTTGTGGTTTCAAAATCAGCTACTGTGCATTTGCAGTAACTTATTTCAACCCAAGAACTTGTAGTAATTTGTACGTCAGTACACATATTCCGCAGCCAGTGCGATGCAGCAGAATAGTCGTAACTCCTGAGGGCTTTTTTAATAATGTGGAGAGGTAAATCCACTACAGACTAAAAAAAATATTCAGCTGCTTCTGAAAGCATCAAAAACTGCTCTCTTAGGGGCTGAAACTGGAGCTCTGTAAGTTGTTAGGAGCAGACTTCGATGCAAAAGCATATGAAGGGATGCTGGATCAGTTGTCGTAGACAGGAGCCCTGAGGGCTTACCTTCATTTATCTGAAACCTATTTTGAATCATGGCACCGAGGACAGGATTATTTAACTTGGAGTATGTCGTTAGCTCCAGAGGAGCTGAAGCTAATTCTGTTCCGGTCTGTTGCGCACATTTGATACCTGCAGGGTAATTTTCTTTTACCAGTAAATCTATGCACCGAAATATTAACGTTCATCACCTTAGAATCCGAGCACCTTGTAACTAGTTGTGGCGCAATATTCCTGTAAGTGACGTAGGATGTTTTGTGTTACAGCCTGTTTTCCCGATGTCAAAAGCTGCGTGCCAGGAAAAACGAAAGATAGAAACGTGATGGCGCGGGACATCGTTGACCGCAGACAGGGAGGCAGACCCCGTGGCAGCCGAGTACCAGCGCAGTGCCTTAGTGAGCATACTGTTGGTGATGGGTGCTATACAAATGTCTAAGATGGATAAAGTTGTTTCAAGTTATAAAATGATGTAACGTATTCTGGAAGAGAGTAAATCTCTTCTTTCCCCAACTGTATCTAATATGCTATGAGTATTTCTAACAACACTGGCACTCCTAAGACCTCTTCATGGAAGTGGATTATAAAATTCCTACTAACTGTAGAAAGCAGGATCAGGGCCACAGATTATCATCAGTGGAAATCTCACACGGGAGCAGGTCCTTATCCCTAAAATACATGTTGAGTTTGTATAACAGTAAAAATACTTACAAGCAAGCATCTGTTTGCAGTCCAAAACCAAAACTGTACCCTTCTTCCTCAGCTTGGTATTTCTGAAAATTCATCCATTGGGAATAAGTCTTTGTTCTATGACAAACTTTGAAGTGTCTTTGTAAATAAAATAAGCTACCAGGGGGATTTCTGAGCCTCTGCTGATGAAAGCCGTTACACTGAAAAATCTCTCTGGTGACTGACAAGATAGAAATTCCAAGAGTTAACCTATTTTACTCCTGGTCATAACCAGCTGGCTTAAATACTGTGAGTGGATGTCCTTCAGTTCCTAGGTAGGTAAACTGCTTCAGAGTATTTTACTGTATTGCAGAGATTGCTAAAATTTCAGCCATGAGCACTGGCTTCGGAACTGTTTTCAACCCTGATTCTCATCTTATTAAAAGTTAAAACTGCTTTTTGCCCTGTCTACTTTTAATGTACGGAGCTGAGCAAAATGGGTGCAGTTTAAAACACAAGCCTACTTGGAAAGACAGCTTGGGAGGAGGTGGGGAGGCAAACTAATCTCTCGCCACATTACACATAAAAATAAGAAGGTGGTTGGTTTGGTTTTTTTCCCTAACTTCTGGGTCCTATAAACTTAGCCTGGTTCTGTGGAAAAACAGGGAGTTCTTCTGTAGGTTAACAGCAGCGAGTGCTCACCGATACCTCTGCAACAAGGGGCAACTGACCAAATACATCATTTTCTTTTTAAGAAGAACAAAAAAATACCACACCAGAATTTACAGGTTTTCCTAATTTTTTTCACTTAGGAAGTTTTCCTCAAAAATTTTTATTTTAATGACAGGAGAAAACAATGCCTTTAAACATTGTCCCAAATACAGATAAATTTTTGAGGGAGAAGATGCTGACCTTAGGGTTTTTTATGTAACACAACATGCTTTCTAAGGCTGGGGTACCAGTAGACAAATGTAAGCAAATTCAAAATTAAAGTGTGAATGTATCTCTTCACTTTAATTTACTCCGTTGTTTCATTAAATGAGTTGGCTAATACTTTTTTTTTTTTTTTTTAATATACTACTACTCAAGTTTGGAGAAAGAGCGAGCTTAGGACAGAGGTAGTAACGTTGGAAATTCAGTTCTGTTAGGCAAACTAATGTTTCTAGGCTGTGAATTCTACATGAATTATTAATAGTGAAGTACAGTGTTTCTATTTGTAGTTTTCCGGTATTTGGTGTGACTTCGGAATCGTTATCATTCTTGCAACTAAAATGCTGGAGCGCCAGCAGAGATCAGGCAGAGGAAGGAGCTGCTGTGGGAGTGTTACGCATCACCGCATCAGGCTTGTGACTGTGAGGCTACTTGGAGAGGGGGCCCATTCTGGCTCTTTTTCACTGCATTACCAGTTTTCTGTCGGCAGGACCAGAAGAGCTTCCATAAAAAGAGAAACGAAGGGGTCGGGTGATACAACCACATACATGTCTGTTAATGAAAGGTATTTCAAACTTGTATTAAGCCAGAGCCATAGGAGACAGCATGTCTGCCTGAAACGTGTGTGTGACGATTCATATGTATCTCAGTATTTTTAATCTCCGTTCTCTCTTTGCTTGAAGGCACAACTTCCAAAATGAAGTAACAGGTTTCACGAAAGTTTTGGTGCTAACCTTGAGTTCTGTTTCCCACAGGGCAAAACTCTGCTGGGCCACAAAGGTTCATCTATGTAAGACAGCCTGGAAGCTCAGTGCTGCCCCAAGCAACGGCTCTTGCTCACCTATGTGTGCTTTAAAACTGGGGAGCTTACAGCCAAACGTTCTGTCCCAACATCATGGCCCAAAAACTGCTACCTTTGGATTCAGCTATTCCCCCCCCTTTGTAACGTATATGGTTGGTAAGAGAGAATAGAGCAGCTGTAAAAGAAAGTTATGAGACCACCTCACTGAAAGTTTCAAGGAACTAGGGAAAGCTAGACAAACGAGACTCCTAAATCCATCACCTTGGACACTGAAAGATATATTTAAGGGGGAAATTCTTCATTCCCCAGGTAAGTGACCCAGTTTGCGATCCTTACACAAATTTTCAAGGTCAGAGAATGTATTTACGTAAAAGGGCAGGATATCTCCAACTAAGGAACCGCAAAAAATGCACTTATTACATACATTATAGAACTGGGAGAGACTTCAGTGAAGTTTAAGTTTAATGATCAGTATGCAGATCAACTGGAACTTGCTTTGAAGCAAGAAAATGTTTCCACTATAGGCTCATCTTGAAAAGTACCTGGGGCACTGTGAGGCTATGCTTTTAAGCAATCAACAGTATATAAATACAGCTCCAACTTTTAAGTTGATGTTTGAAGGAGATCAGAGTGACATTATGTCAGCAACCTAAAAACCACCTTCTTTTGTCTCAGAATACTTCTCAGTTACCTGGCAAAGCGTCATGGTGTTCAGTGTCTGGAATAACACGGTGACCAGTAATCGTGAATCTCGAGGTACAAACAAAAATGCTTAATCTTGAGGTTTGCTTGAGAAGGAAGAGCTCTTCAGCCAAAACTCACTAGCCTAACTCGATGCTGCTGTAATTTCCTACTCGATTTGAAAGTTACTACCTTATCTCTAGTTGAATGTATTGGCTGAGTTGTAAAGGGCTAACGATTACAAAATACAAATTTATGCTAAAAGAATTTGTAGAGGGCAAGGAGCAGAGGTAATTAGCATACAGAGAATGGCAGGGTGGATATTTTTAAAACACGTGTGAATAAAAAGCAGTTTTTCTGGAAGTCGGCTCTTCTGTTTGGGATTTTGCTTGTATTCTAGGAAGGAACCAAATGAAGTTGGATGATTTCATCAGCTGTATTATATTCAGCCCTTCTTTAGGTAGGAAATCTTGAAGCATAGTTGTTAAGTAACTTGCTCAAAAATCAAGCAACAGATTTTGATAGTTGCGTGGAATTGAAACTTCAGCATTTGGTACTTGGTTTATTCTTTACTCCCTTAGAAGAGCCATTCCCAACCTTTATGAAACCGATAATCTTCACTTCTAGTTAAAATAAAAAAGAGGTAAAGAAAAAAAAAAATAGTTTTCCGCATTTCTCTAGATTTGGCTCTTCTTCACACACATCTACTTTCCACGATGCCTTTACTGCTTCTTCAAAGCATGCAGCAGGGACTCGGAGGCTGGCCTTCATAGTATATTTATTGGGCTCAAAAGTTTATCTTTAATATGCTCACTGCCTTATCACTGCCTCATCAAAATCTCGTTAGATGGGAGTTGTGACTCAAGATTTTACACACCAAGTGTAGTCAAATATGCATTTAGGGAAAATCTGTTGCATTGATTTGCTGGATAATGAAATCTTTCAGGGGCATTCAGGTAAGTCTAAGTGCTTTTCTTTATGAACGTTTCGCTGAAACTTTGTAAAACACAAATCCATATGGGAGAGCATGGTTAAACCCGAGAAGACAACCAACACTGTTTCCATTCAACGTTGTGAAAGTTTAGTTTGCAAAAATCAGTTTCTGGTACATTTCGTGTTTCCTCACAGTTTAAATGATACCTTGAAACTGTTGGTTTTGATCCGATTTTGCCTCTTGTTTATTGAGCTGAAGTGGGGAAAACATGGATATTGCAATTCTTCTGCAAAGGGCTACTCAGCAAATGAATATTCTGGCTCTGTTACAGGTCCCTAGTTTTCTCCTCGAGGGAAGCTGAAAGTAAATGCTTTGAGTATTGTTCATTCTTTATATATTAAAAAAATTATATATTCATTTTCTGTTACTGCAATCAAAATAAAGAGATATATAAAGACAAAAGAACTTTTAAGATTCAGATGCTGAAATTCCTAGTATCATTACTGTGTAATACCACTATGTCTCTCGCTGGCGGTTGGTGCTGTCGACTGTTCTCTGTTTCTACTCAACTAAGCAGGAAGTTTCATAGCATAATTACCATTGAAGTCCTACAAGTCCAACTGTTGTCACTAGACAAAACTCTTACCTGCTCTGAAAATGCTTTACTGAAGCCAAGATGTACTATTTCAGGCCACAAGCTCTGGGCACAATGAAATTCTCCAGACTGCAGATCCAAATATCCTACCTAGGAGATGCACGGCAAACTTCGGTCACGGGAAGGAAGCCTCTCCCACCTATATAAAGACATCTGTCATACAAAGCGTACTTACTGGAGCCTTCTGTAAAGACCTAGGATCTCCTCCTAAGCCTCACAGTCTCAGCTTTGTGATTTTCCCATCCAGTTTCACTGGAATGTTAGATAAAATATGAACTCACTTTTTTTCCAATTTTAAATTTTCTGAACCTTCTGTTAGGGTAATACAATAGTTACTCTGAAATCACCTTCAGAGAACTTGTTCTACATCTTATAACACTGTACATCATTACAAGCCAAAAAAAAAAAAAAAAAAAAAAAAGAGATGATGAAGCATAGGAGGTGTTTCTTACTTGATGCTCAGAAAATACTTTTTCTTTCTTGGTTCGGGATAGATTAAATTCAGGTCTGGTATTTTCTTAGGAGTTCTGACTGGTTAATCACACTGTCCGTTCCAAGTACGCTATTATTTTCTCACATCTACGAGATGGAAATTGCCCGCTAACTAAATGGAGATAAGCCAAAAACTGTTTCTCAAGGATATTTCCATTGGCTTCCAGCCTCAGCCTGTCACTTCACTCCCAGTTCTTTCCTCATAAAAAATGGCCGCTGCTTCCATAAGCGTTGAAATGTTACCTCACCGTCTTCCTGACTGCAGGCAATCGAGCAATTGTCTAGCACAGGTAGAGAATGTGTCCGTTGTGCCTTTACTTCAATCCATGCCTTTTATTCTGAGAGTGTCTCTTTTCCTTTCTGTTGACAGAACAAAAAGAACATTATCCTGGACTCACCAAAACGTTGAAGAGATGTTTCAGGAAGGGTTGCTTCACCACTTCACCACCAGCATATGGCAGCACAACTCGCGCTGTGCTGCCGTTCAGGTGGTGGTGGTGGTCTGTATTTTCTATACTGAAATTTTAAGTGCAGTAAGCCCTTTAACAGTGACCACACTTGAACAAGGACTGCGTCTCTTGAAGATAATACCGCTTATTTCTAAACAGGGTTTTTTGGCCTTTCCTACCAAGCAATTTCATGGACTGCAAGGAGGACTATGTCATTTCTTTTTACCATTTTTCAGTTAGAAACTGAATGAGAATAAAGGACCTTTTAAATAATTAATCAGCAATGCTCTTGGCTGCCCTCCGAATCCCAGAACACACCCTCACCCTCCCCTTTCTCACAGTTAAACTCTTGTACAACTGAGGAACGGGAGTCGATCCGAAGAGAGACAAAGGGACTCTCTGTTTCTCTCTCGGGGTCTCCATTTCAGTAGTGCCTATGTCCTTGCCCAAGGTCAGCCTGCATGATCAGTTTTCATTTTAGACTTATCCCCTCTTCGTTTGTCTGTAACTTCCTAGTCCCTCCCTTCGCTGGGGGCCCTCTTGGCCTGTTGCCTTCGGTCAGCACCCCAGCTCGGCTGGTCTCCTTTGGGACCCTCTCTCTCAGCACCCCCAAGAAGGGCTATACTAAGGTCCCGAGGGTAGCACAACCGCTGCTCTGGGGATCCAGCTTCATGTACAGGGGAACAAATCCTGTGTAACAGCCTGCCCTGTGTGGTTACAGACAGCCAAGAGCCTCAGAAACAGGGAACTTGGCTCACACAGCACAGACCTCTCTGCTGCCCAGAAATGAAACTGCTAACTGTAATGCCAATAGTGTTATTTATAGAGACTACAGTTGGTTTATTAAGATTTTTTTTTAGATCAAAGACTTCAGGATTTCATCTTGGGCTAAAAGTAACCCCCAAAAAATTTGTTTGCAATGAGAAAAGGTAGAAATGTTATTTAATGTTATTCTCTGGCAAGTTTGGGGTATGCAGGGTTGCACCAATGCTGGTCCTAAAACTTTACCACTAAAATCTGGTCCTAAAAATCTTACCATTTCCATTCCATTAAAGTTGTCTTTCCAATTCTTTAACTCTTTTTTTTTTCCTCCCCAGGGAACCCCACCACCAACCTGTCCAGGGCTCCTCTGCAACCTCCCCGCAGTCCCCCAACTTGGTGGTCTGAGGTCTTCTGCGTGTCTGAGGTGGGTTTCTGCACCCCCCCAGGCTTCTGCCCCACTCTCGCGCTTCTGCACCCCCGAGATGGGCTTCTGCTGGCCACCACCTGGTCTTTTTGTTGAGCTGTAAATAAACCTCTTTCTCTGAAGCAGAATTAAGTTCAGGACAGGACTCCCACCTTCCCATCCAGTATCCTTTCAACTCGGCATAACCACCAGGTTGCCCTGTCAGCTGTTGTGAAACCATTGACCCTTGAACAATGATCCGTCCTCATCGGGAGAAACAGAGTTTCTCTTGTTTGGAGATAGAGACAGCTTTGAGTTCAACCCACTTCTTTGGCCAGCTTACGTTTTTCTGATCTCTTCAACTTCAGCCATGGCAATTAATCTAAAAAGTAAGCATTATATCTTTCCCTTTTCAAGCACGCAACTATGATTTTAAAAAAACACGGAAACAACCAAAGCAAAACTAAGCCAGACGCAGTTAACAATATCCGCAGAGCAGGAAAGGATCACTTAGTCCTCAGAGCAGGCCTTTGGAGACAGAAATAGCAACCAGTTCTTATCAGGAGTTATCCCAGCTAGCCAGCTGGGAACACCTCCTTCTGTAGGAGCTCGTGGGGATAGCAAGAGTCTGTGAAATTGCGGTTTTGCTTCCTCCTTTCATCCAATTCAGTCGCCATCATTCAGAAAAACCTGCTCAGTTCTTTTCCTCTCTTTGACAGCATTTGCTGTTATCGATTCCATTGCTACAATAAACTTTTCCTTGTAAATGAGATGTTTATGCCTGTATTTATGCTCTTTCTCTCTTTACTGTGTTCTTTTTTGTTTTTCTTAAAGGAAAGGTCTTAAGACATCACTTGCCATCCCACATTACCAGGTAAACTGCTTGGGAACATCGAGTGTAGCGGTTAAGCTCTGACTGTTAGACAGCTAGGAGCATCTCCTAATAGCGACCTGCACAATCTTGTATAAATGTTACGTTGATTCTGATGCAATGTTATTCTGCCGCTCAGCATTCTCGCTCCAACCCTCCCACGCACATGCTTAACCCCCAATTCTCTCATTCTTTAAGTGCATGAAGGAGTGACAGCACTTCTGTTTTCTACCTCTCTGCCTTTTTCACACCTCGCCTGGGTCACTCGTGCAGGCGGCTGCCGGCCCCAGAGCAGGTGACAGCAGCGAAGGACCGCATCACCAGGTGGAGCTGCTTTGCTTCGCGTTGTTCTGCGGCGGAGGATTCACCGGCAAAACAACCCCCAAAGCCTGACGAGGCTGCACTATTCAGAACACTTCACCGAAGCTCCAAGCGTCCTCGATAGCACCGCGTCTCCTGACACTACTTAAAGCTTCGTTTCCCTCTTATTTAGGACCCGTGTCTTGTTTTGAGGGGGTTTTATCCTTCTTTCCCATGGGCTGGAGAAGGCCCCGGCAGATGCCCCCGGGCACCCTGGGGAGGGAGCAGGGCGTGCAGCGGGATGGGGGGGCCCTGGGGATGCCCCGGAGACCCAGGGGAGGGGAGCGGCGGGCGGGACGGGGGGCTGCCCCG